ATATATATATATATATATATATATATATATATATTTTGGGATATTACATCAAAAACATGTAAAAAAAATCGCTACACAAATGCAATCATATTTCGATACGTATTAACACAGCTCATCAGACGTTAGTAAATAACTGGTTAGTAAACAATTTATCGAGATTTAAAAACAATTGTCTACACAGCAGTTATTTACTAACGCCTGATGAACTGTGTTAATACGCATGGAAATATGATTGCATTTGCGTAGCCATTTTTTTTAAATTTTTGATGTAATAGCCAAAAATAAAGAATATTTCTCTACTTTTGTATTGAGCCCTCTTTTAAATTGAATGTTATGAACGTCAGAAATGGACCCTGTTCGTTCTTATAATATATATATATATATATATATATATATATATATATATATATATATATATATATATATATACAGAGAGAGAGAGAGACAGAGACAGAGAGAATATATATTTAACATAATTATCCCCGTATGATTCAAGTCAAAAAAGTATTGCTCACTTAAAGTGGATTGAAAAGTACAAACCTTATCGATAACTGTTTGGTTACCATCGGCTTCTTTATCTAACGTTATAAAAAATAGTGAATGTGTTTTACTGATATTTATTTTTCTGTGGCCGATCTCACATTGCAGTAGCGATAAATAACAATTTCAGACATATTTACAAATGAGAAAGTTGATGTCGGTGGGAAAAGAAAAAAAACAGAACCAAAAAGACTTTGACTCGATATATCTTTTCTTTTATTGGGAGATTTGTTTTGTGTGCTGTCAGCCACGCTGGTTAAGAAATTGGTGGAAGCAAGATATTTATGATGAACAACGTTGTGTACGCGAAGCTATTATGTGAAATAGGATTCACTATTTCATTGTAGGTCATCGCATTGACTGGAGTTTAATAGATTAACAGAAGTCATCAGTTGCCTGAACGATATATTGTTGCATTAATTGTACACGTTGAAAATGGTTATTTGTCACAACTCAATCCTTCATTATTTCTGACAGTCACCCACAACACTGCCGCAGATTAAGTGGGGAGGTTATCAATCTGTCGAACCACGAGCGGAGGAGAGGAGTAGAAAGAACGAAGTACAAACGTATGGAAACCGACAAGAAAATTCCAGATCTAAAATTCGAACTGTTAATGTGAATCTCTTCTCTCACAGGAATATACAACGCTAATCTAAAGACCAGTTGCATCCTTCACACTCAAAGCATCGATTTTTTGTACTAATTCTTCACTAAGCATAAGGCCTGTGAGCCACTCAAGTTTGTGAATCCCCGTTAAAATTTGTAAAATAAAAGTTGCAAAGATTTAAGTAATATTAATAAAATCTCCATTCTGTGCCAAAGTAGGATTACACAAACATTATCTCAATTTTGTGCAAAAATAGGCTCAGACGAGCTTCAAATTCAAATTTCCACATCAGCATTTATTAACCAATCAGTAAGGTTATCCCAAAAGTCATTCAATCTTTCAAAAAGCAGGCGACTATTCTTATCATCTGCTAAAAATGTTGAAGTCACAACAGAAAATGATTAACAGACTTTCCTTCTTAATAATAGATATTAACAATCTGAGTTTAGTAAATCTAACTTTTAATTTTTTCTTATAAATAGCGTAACGTAAATTAATATTATTTAGCCTTCAGTATAAATCGACCGTGGTAGTGTGAATAATACTGAATTCCCAAAATTTTCGCATACTCACACTTTAGGCAAAGACTAGAAGATAATTTCAATAGCAAATCCACGTCGTATGTCGTCTCATAGAAAGGAACTCTCTCTCCCCTACCCCTAGATAATGGACTCCTCTTATTGATTTAGTACTAACTACTTTCTTGCAAACTGCGAAAAACAATGACAATTATTTTATTATTTTAAATTCTTTAATTTCGGTTTTATACTCGATAAATGATGTTTGGTCATGGGATGTAAAAATTGTCCATTCTAATGTGTTCGAGCATTTTCAGCTATCATTGGTCATTTTCAAGAATTTTGTATATTATGGTCTTGGAGATTCAAGAAAACGTCCACGGAGTTCATTAGCAATTCAGTCTTTCTAGCTTTCGGTTGATATTCTATACATGAGATTGTAAAATATTTGTGCATGCAAATCATGGCTATAAATCTTTATTTCTCGTTTGCTATTCATTGTGCGTTTTATTATATACATTTTTTTTTTCACCAGTAAAATATGCTGCTCTCTTCTTGCAACGAATAATCTTAGATCTTTGCTGCCTCTCAACTTCAGCATGGACATCCATACATATTGGTTTATCTTCCCTTTTCGCTTTGCTTTTTCTTTTTTGTTTTTTTTTATCACACTGGCCGGAACATCATTCATTCCGCTATAGTAACAATATTTTTCCTTTTTTTTTTTTCACCTTTTTTTTTTTCATTTTCATTCTTTTATCTTCTTACCATATCTCATTCCTTCTTTTTTTTATTTCATGTTGCCTTCTGTAAAACAAGTAACCCTCTAATGAGAACGATGCCATTTCGGGGATGGTGGACATTAATGTTTATAGCTACAAACCTATATTTTCCGAAACAAATAATTAATACCGACCTTTATGTTAAACCTTTTTATAACTAGCGGATTTTACAGAAGACATTAAGTGATTAAGAACAAACTAGGCAATCCCGCGTTATACTACACGTGATTTTGAACCTGTTCTCGCTCGCTCACCGCAGTTAAGCAATGTTGAACTCGGTCAGTACTTAGAGACCTACAATCCGAATCGGTTTTAAATAACACACAAAAGTTTGACAAGCCATAAAAAAATCACTCATGAGTTTAATGCTCAGTGGGTATGTAGATAATCTAGAGGTTTACGTACATACTGTATGTCGTCAAATACGGTATATAATAAAATTTGAGTTATTTCAGCTGTTTTTTCGTTTTCTTTTGTTTTTTCTTGTTTTTTTGGGGGGTTACAATAAGGTTCAACTTGTACAAGACTCGAGAGCCACTCGTGGTAAAGGGTTACATTAAGGGGCAGTTTATACGGATAGGAGAGGAAGATAACGGCTAATCGTAGACTTGAGCAGGTTAAGATTGTAGTGATCGGAGAAACATCCTCTTGAAAGGTGTTCGCAAGAAGAAGCTGTTCGAGTGGAACTTACTTTTCAACAATGGAACACGTAACGAACGTGGGTGGTTTGCTAGAAATGTGAGTGTCATAGCGGGTCCCAGCCGTAAAGATTAGAACTGGAGGAACCATAGAATGTACTTTGTCCGAGCACTTTCCTTGGAAATAGCGATAGAGTAACGACAGGCCTGCCGCATCTCACCTGTGACAGGCTGGAAGGTAGAAAGTAATTTGTCACCCACAAATACTCGGACTAGGCTGGAACGTGAGAACAGGGTAGCTCCCACTCAAATATGACAACAGTACTTCATTTTAGACCTGTTTTTTCTCTTATAAAGATAAAGGATATGCCGAGTTAGTTACTTACTACAGTGGTACGTGGAGCCGACTATTTTTCTGCGTTTTTTTGCGATGGATCGTATGTAGGAGTTTCCACTTGAGGTCACGTATAAGTGTGTGAGTTAAAGGCCCAATAGTCTGTCGATGCAGGGAGCCTCAGAAAATTGACATCCATTTATCGAGACTATGGTTTTATCACTAAAGTCTTTTTGTTTTTAGTTTCTTGTTTTTTTTTTTTTGTTTGTTTGTTTTGGTTTTGGTTTTTTCGATTAGACAGATATCGGGCACGAGTTAAAATCTTATCGTAAGGTCATTCGTTGTTTCCAATCCATTGGTCCATCGTAGTTGCATAATGGTCAACAAGCTAATTTTATTGATCATGAATAGTGATTTTGATTCTAACTGGGCGCACATACTTACGATTTGTGTCTAGAATTAAGCTACGCTTTGTAACTAAATACTTCCTGCCCATGCCGCTTGCTTACAGTTGTATAATGGGAAAACGAATGAATGTTCGATAAACAGTAGCAAAAGATGAAAGGAAAAAAATAGTCTTTTCGTGACTTTTGTTTCTAAATTTCGATCTGTTTGTGGGATTATTTCTCTCTTTCTCGTTCCATATTCTATTTTTCTTTCTGCAGTTTTCTTTTCGTTCCTCTTTCCGTTTCTTATCCGCTCATCCCTCTTCTTCTCTTTGTTTTAAGACATTATCGGTAATTCGCTACGTCGCTTGGGCAGGAAGAACACGCGATTCCCTAGCTCTTTGTTTACTGACCGAAATCAAGCAAATCCAGGGATATTTTTAATGGGATAAATAAGCCAGTGATACGTTAAAAAAAATCTGAAATTAAAAGTATAGTAATAGATAAAGTTTTTTTTTAAAATTATTAGAAAATATATTAATAAAAAAATAAAATACGTCAACAATAAGAGTTTTAAAATACGAAGGCAAAAGGGAAGCGCGCAATATTTAAAAAAATACCGAGAGACATCAATAACGGATCTACTAAGATTTTCTTTTTCATCTTTTCAACCTCTGTTTCTTCTTCTTCTTCTACGTTTCTTCTTCTTCTTCCTTCTTCTTCTTCCTTCTTCTTCTTCTTCTTCTTCTTATTATTATTATTATTATTAATATTATTATTATTATTATTATTTGATTTCTGGCGTTTACACATTTCTTTCCGGGTCCCGCCCAGGGACCTAAGGTTAGAAATGGCATCATGACACTTTCCACTGACAAAAAAAAAGAAATTACATAGATAAAGCCCTTTATTATTATTATTATTATTATTATTATTATTATTATTACTATTACTATTATTATTTATTTCTACCACTTCTTTTCCATCTACAATTTCTTGCCCGTTTCTTCTATTTCTTCATATCTATCTTCTTGCTTTTATCCATTTTTTTTCGTTTTGATTTCATTTTCTTTCCTTAAATATTTTTTCTTCTTTATTCTTCTGATGCTCTTTTTCCTTTTCCTCTTCTTCTTCTAACTATTTTCTTCTTTCCGCGCTTCTTCTTCTTCTTCTTCTTCTTCTTCTTCTTGTCATGCTCTTTGTACTTGTTTTTTCATCATTTTTCTCTCCTGTTTCTTCTTCTTCTTTTTCTTCTTTTCATCCCTTTCTTTTATTTCCTCTTACTTATTTCTTCTTCTTCTTCTTCTTCTTCTTCTTCTTCTTCTTCTTCTTTATTCTTGTCATGCTCTTTGTACTTGTTTTTTCATCATTTTTCTCTCCTGTTTCTTCTTCTTCTTTTTCTTCTTTCATCCCTTTCTTTTATTTCCTCTTACTTATTTCTTCTTCTTCTTCTTCTTCTTCTTGTTATGCTCTTTTTTTCTTGTTTCTTTTCATCATTTTTCTTTTCCGTTTCTTCCCCATCTTTTCCTTCTTCTTCTTCTTTTTCTTCTTCTTCTTCTTCTTCTTTCTTTCTTTCTTATTTCTTCTTCTTCTTTCTTTCTTATTTCTTCTTCTTCTTCCTCCTCTTCTTCTTCTTCTTCTTCTTCTTCTTTTTCTCATATCTCAGTTTCACTATACTTTTATCATCCAAGATTGCATGCCTTGCTTTATTTTGTTGTTGTTTTATATAATATAGCATGCTTGTTAACTACAAAGAACGTATATTCAGTTTGTCAGTTCAAAGTAGTTTAATTAAAAATGTTAAATACGAAAGGCAAGAATCAAGAATAGAGGAAAATCGAAAGAGACCTCACCCCCCCCGACTTTAATTCATTGGGTGAATAAATGAGAAAAACTTTGGGAATGATTGAATTTTTTTTTTTTTTTTTTCGGAATAGACAACGAACGGAAGCTAAAAAGAAAACAGAAAAGGAAAGAATAAAAGGAACAATGAATTAAAGATAGGATAAGTGAAAAGAACAAAGAAAACACGAGAAAACCGAATGATAAAAAAAAATATTTGTGGGGAAAAAGCTACAGCATCAGTAAAAAATATTTCATTTTCATTAAGAGAAAAACGAAAGAAAAAACAGATAATTAAAAAAAATTAAATCTATAAGAAAAAAAGGAAATGAAATCGAATAAACACCACATTTATGCAAGATGATTCAGCATCATCCTTATTCAGTCAGTCAATTATGATCCATGTGTGATACACGCTTAGGTGATCATGTATCTTTCGATACATGACTGACAGGCCATTTTTTCCCCGCAGTAGGTCGCCATTTCTTTCTGCGGTAGACCAGTTGCCACCCAAGGCTATAGAACCCTGACTGCCCTGCTATTTACCCATAGCTGGAGGGAGAAGAAGAGGATTCATACTTTTCTCAAGGGTCTTAGCACGTAAGTGAATGTAATTGGATTCGACTGGAATTCGAACTCGGCTCTCCAATTCTTCACTCCAAGCCGCTTTCCATTACTCCACCGTGAAGGAGTAATGGAAATAAATTATTACGGCAAAGAATTCAATACTTCCTTTGTGCTAAACTAAGCTAAATGTATCCAATTTATATGGAACACTCGCTTTTAGCAAGGTAATCTTATAGTCTAGCAAATTATCTACTCTTTCAGTGCTCTAGTTTGGGATCTAATGCCAAACTTAGATGAATGTAGCGAATAGTTGGACACCATCTTTTGCAAGCTATGATTGTAACCCGTTATTCTTGTAAATTTTATCTTCTCTGATTGCTCCATACTTGTGAACTTGTGACAAACTTGTTAAACTTAGCAAATACCTATAAAGATTCTATCTCTACCCACTGAGGGCGCGCATTTATATAAGTTTTTATTACGCGGTTGTCTTGTGTGCGCATATCTTAAGTATACCCTAAGTTCACTCATGGAGCACTTGGGGCTACCACGTGGGCGTGATAGATTTACATGATGAAAAATCTTCCTTAAAATCTGAGCAATGGGATCTTCTGAACTTCTTTTAACCTTATTTTGCCAGTTATTTTCCATCCATTTCTTCAGCAGATCGAATTATTAACTATTAACACTAGTTGTTTTGTACCGTTCATAGCACAGATCCGGTAGCAAGACCTCTGATCGGGAGATTGAAGGTGTTGAGGAGCGTACAGCCACGTTTTAATTGCTGTTGTTCCCAATTTCACCTGAGCCGGGACGGTAGCACCTGTTAGGGACCCAGCTATGGGCAAATAGTGACCCCCTCTCCGCAAACAAAATACTATGAAAGTATAAATATATCTTTTTATAGGAAAACTACCAGCAATAAATTTTTATATAAAAAAAATACCAGTAATACATTTTATCTGTAGTTGAAGGCGTACAACTGCATTCAAATTATTTAGATTTCAGCCCATAGAGGTTAATATGACGCGAAACAAAATTATCTAAACAAAATTATTTAAACCCATAGAGGTTAATATGATGCTAAACAAAATTAAACAAGCAACATGAAAGAATTCTTTCATGATATTAATTCATATAATATCCAAAAATTTCTTAAATTAAACTGTGTTCCGAAATATAAATTCAACAAAAAAAAACACACATATTAACGTCACTAGTAATTATGTCTACACATATATCCTATGTTTATTACTTCAATACTCCCAAGAAAATTAAATTTTGTCATTAAATGACCCATATATACAAATCAATCTATTTCTATTTCTAAGTTTATATATTTAGAGAGTTTTTCAGTAGTTTCAAAGAGGTCTTTCTTTCGATGGGGACAGATATATTGGTGTTATTTTTATTAAATATTATTATTATTATCATTATTATTATTAATAACTAGCAGTAGAGCCCGGCGTTGCCCGGGGATGTAACAGTAAGAGATAGATCAAGTACCGACCATCATAAAGACTGAAAAATAAAATTGACAAAGATTATTCTTTGAGATTGACGGACACGCATGTCTTAATTATTTTTTTTTTGTTGTTGTTTTGTTTGGTTTTTTTATGAATTGGTCAAACCCAAACTCAAACAAAAACATTGTTTTCAATCTTTATGAGTCTACCGATTGAATAGAATTTTATTATAAACAATTGTCTTGTAAATGGAATTTTTAAAGCATTCTGAATGTAAAAATAAAGAAAAAAGTGTGCAAGACAATAAGAAACACTACCTGTCAAAACAAAAAGTGAAGTTTTGTTGAAATCGGTTGAAAAATGTAGGAAATCCGATCCATATATAAACGAACCCACACACACACACACACAAAACAACCTGGGTTTTATAATAAGTATAACTCGATAACTCGATATTAATAAGTATAACTCGATATGAGTTGTCTCCCTTTCATTAATGCCTCTTAATCGTATTTTCAAATTGATTTCGTGCAAAAACAATTGTGTTTTTCCAATTTTTGGCACTGTCAGAACCACCGCAAGGTAATTTTACGTAGTCCTGTGAAGTTTTGTTGAAATCGGTTGAAAAATGTAGGAAATGCGATCCAATATATAAACGAACAGACACACACACACAACCTGGGTTTTATGATAAGTATGATATTAATATTAATATTATAGATACTGTAAACGGATCCATCGCAATAAAGTACAGGTGAGGTTTTTTATCATGTAGAATATCTTCACTATTTTGATTTCATGTCCTCTTGTACTGCCACCATGTTTTTTTTTTTATTTATATACGGTAATGTTTTCTGCTAGAAGAAAGATGACTACCAGCAAAATAGACTGTCCGAGAAGTGAGTTACGTATTGGAAATATCAAAATCGTGCAGTTACAAAGATTTCAATAGCTGTGTAGTATGAGAATACAGGAATAAGTATTCCAGACATCCAGTTTATATATTAAAGAGATAGTAAAATACTGTTTAACTGCTATGTAATATCCACTCTCCTATATGGAAATGAATACTAGACAATTTCCTCACTGTTGGAGAACAGGCAAGAATCGATAGAGATGTGATTATAGCGACAAATTCTAAGTAAAACAAAACAAAACTCTCAACAGTCGACTTTCATGATTTTCAATTATTTTCATCTATTTTGCAATAGTAATTATCGGAACAAAGTCGAAATTCTGTCTTATTACATTAATCACGAACAATATTTTCATTACTATGATTTCTTATTTTCAGCTCTTCAGCTAGCTATCTTTTTTATATACAGGGATGTCGTCTTTTATAGAGCAAGTGCTTTTATAATGTACTGATAGCTTGATTGAAATATTTCATGCTTAAATAAACTAAAAACAATTTCCCTGGTGGACTTGTTTTTACGGCTTATCAGCCCTTTGTGTGTTATTTAAAATTGAAACATGTTTTGTGATTAACAATCTTTTGAGAATCATAATGATTTTTCCCAGATACAAGTCTTACTATTTAACCTATAGCTGAGGGAAGAGATGGATTCATACCTTCCCCAGGAATACATGTGTGTAAGTGAATGTATCAAGCTCAACCGGAATTTGAACTTGGCTCTCTGATTTCACATTCCAAACTGTTCTTCATTACACCACCCGCACATGCACATTTTTTTTCCTGAATATAATCTCCTGAAATGTGTGCGTGTCTAATATGCCCACTGCATCTTTTATGGTATTTGTTTATTATTAATTTATTATGACTTGAATATACTTTATAAGCATGTTTTATATATTCCTTCTATTATTTTTCATATACTGATGAATTTTTATTGAATCATTTATGCAATTAGCTTGGACTAATTTCTTTGTTTTCTTTTTGCATATAATCTCCAGCCTTCCTCAGATGTCTCTTGTTCTATGGAATGTTGTTGATGTCTTTTGTTATAGCTCAACTGCTTTTATAATGTACTGACATCTTGCTTTAACCATTAAATACACTAACAACTTTTTACTGAATATGGCCTACTCAAACTGGGATGCGTCTAATATAACGTGTCTTTCATGTTCCTTTTTATTAGTTTAATCATGACGGATATTTTCACTATTATGATTTCTTGCTTTATGTTCAACTCTACTGTTTTCTTTTTATATACAGTGAGGTCTTCTTTAAAAGATTAACTGCTTTAATCATTACATGCTTAACTAAACTAAAAACATTTTCCCTGATTCTTTTTTTCGGGTTATCGGCGGTTTGTGGATTATATACAGCTGAAACATATTTTGTGATTAACAATTTTTTTGAAATAACAATGACTTTTTCCAGATATTACTATTTAACCTATAGCTGGGGGAAGAGATGGATTCATACATTTCCCACGTGTGTGTAAGTGAATGCATCAAGCTCAACTGGAATTTGAACTTGCTTCTCTGATTTCACATTCCAAACTGATCTTCATTACACCACCAGCACATGCACATTTTTCTTTTCCTGAATATAATCTCCTGAAATCTATGCGTGTCTAATATGCCCACTGCAGCTTTTATTATTATTGTGAGACCGGAACTACCTACACAATAGACTCTTCCAGGTCTATATTAAGTATGCGACACAACACTCTGGTCAGAGAGAGAGAGAGAGACAGTGAGAGCCGCGTACGACTACCAGTATTGGACACTAACATATAGTAAGCTCCGCTTACACTATCTCTGTAACCTGTTGTTAATATATCTTTCTTACATCTAATCCGTGTTCCGTGTTTTTCTTCTGTGGTCCAAACTTTGGCCCCACATCAGTTATATTTGTTTATTATTAATTTTTATGACTTGATTATACTTTATAAGTATGTTTTATATTCTTTCCATTATTTTCCATATACTGATAAATTTTTATTGAATCATCTATGCAGTTAGCTTGGACTAATTCCTATGTTTTTGTTGCATTCCTTCACCCATTTGGAGTCTATATCGTGACAACTTTAATCATTCTTTTGTTCGACATCCTCAGGATATGGCCGAGCTATCGGAAGCTATGTATCTATGTCATGGAGTAATGGCAGCGTCCCTTAGTACCAGATGTTCCACCGTAAGTAAGTATGCCTCAACAAACTCTTATGATTAACCAGCTGTTAACTGCAGAAGAAAGAAACATAACTGATAGAAAATACAGATAATTGTAAAAGACTAACCTGTGAAATATAACATTAAAGTAGAGATAAAAAATAGTCTCTCATATAAAACAGCCAAAGAAAATGTTATAGACATGATATTTTTATTACTTTATTGTTCAGCTGTACTGTTTGTTTTCGTTTTATGTACAGTGAGGTCATCTTTTATAGCTCAACCTCTTTTATAAAGTACTGATAGCTTGCTTTAAAGAATATATATATATATAAATACACTAACAACTTTTTTTTCTGAATAAGGTTTTCTCAAACACGCGTATTTTATGTAGTCAAATCTGGTAATTTCTGAAATCTATGTTAATTTATATTAATCTAACATGACCCTAACTTTTATTATTATAATTTAAAAAAATGCCATTCCAAATGAAACCCGAAAAACTGATCTCGTGTTAGGAAAAATTAGGTATTTCCAGTAAAAAGAAAGAAAGCAAGTTAGTCAGAAAACCATTATAAGATTTGTGAATTCAATCTTTACTCATTGCCTCAAAATTGTGGCTCTGTGCCAGATTAAATCAAACTTTTTTACGGGTTAAAAGTTCACTATTTACATTGTTCGGACTATCATCCTCATCTTTGTTGCCATATTTATCACAACGTTTTGGCCGTTGTGCACTCCGGCCTTCTTCAGGTGGTTGGAATGTCGAACTGAACCCTTTATTTCACTTGCTGAGGTAGACTGTTCCAGTTCCACGTGCCATGTCTAATGGATGTCAATTATCAGTTATCTTATGTTAATTCCCCTCTCCAAGTTCTCCACCGCCTTAAAGAGGTATTGAACTCACACTTTGGGTCCTGCCACTGGATCTAAATAACGCCATTATCCGCTGCGCCATGTGTCCTCAAGGGTTAAGGCGGTGGAGAAGTTCGAGAGGGGAAATAACAGGAAATAACTGATAAATAACATCCATTAGATATGGCACGTGGAACTAGAACAGTCTACCCCATCGAGCGAAATAAAGGTTTCCAATCACCTGAAAAAGGCCCGAGCGTACAACGGCCGAAACTTTGTGATAAATATGGCAACAAAGATGAGGATGATAGTCCTGACAATGTAAATAGTGTACATAATACCACATCTCAGAAATATAGACTGATACTGGGGTAAAAAGTTGTAGTGTCATCGTTCCATTTAATCTTATCTTTGTTCATTGTCCTATGCTACACCCCATGAGTAACCCACCTTTTTCTCTTCTGTCAGATGCTGTCCACTGCTAAGTGTTTCATGATACGCTTCTCTTTCTCTTCCCAGCTATGGTTCACAAAGCAAATGGATGTATTCTTTCATTAGAAATCCTCTGGATATGACGGGGAAACCGTAACCTACGTTTGGTAATATCAACAGACATATTTCAGGTATATTTCATACTACCGCCAATGATTGCCAAGCTAACAAATATTAGGGATCTATCGTATTCAGCTTCCGAAGAAGATGCCGTCACTTGTTACACGTCTCTCTTCATGTCTCCACAATCATACAAATCGAGAAATAAGTCATGTTACTTTCGATGTCTTGACTGATGTATAAGTTTGCCCACACCTGAATCCTCTCCTGAGCTTTGACCCACGTTTCAACCCATGTCAGTCGCCTCTCCTTCAAATGATTTTTGTTTTGCCAATCTTTTTCTTGGAGTCTATATCGAGACAACTGTAATCATTCAGGATATGGCCGAGCTATCGGAAGCTATGTGTTTCAAGGCGCATATACTCTTCCTTATTAGAGATCTTAGTAGAGTATTACAGAGGTTTTGAGGGCTTTTCAGGATAGACATTAATTTCTAAGTACAAAACTCTAATCTCTTTCAAAGTACTTAGTATTAGTTCCTTTTTCAAAATTACTTAAGAGGACCGTGCCCAGAAAGACGGTAATTGTAGCTTTATTGAGTTTTTTTTTTTTAATTTTAATCATAACTTCCATATGATTAAGAATTATCGTACTCACCAGTACAAATAACTCTTTAGTTAAATTCATTCGCTTCCCCCGAAAATATGATGAGCAATCACTGTGATAAATTTGCTTACGGGAATTCCAGTCCAAAAACCGGTCACATTTCCTGTAAATGAATGGCATCTGCTCAAAACGCGGACATCCAAGATTCAGGCATTGCTAGACATGCGAAGAAGAACTAACTGGATGTTGTTAGATATCACGTGCCATCGTCACATCTGTTTGAGAAAAACATGTACTAGGGCGGTATGATTTATCAGAAAACTTAATTGCATATATATATATATATATATATATATATATATATATGTGTGTGTGTGTGTGTGTATATATATATATATATATATATATATATATATATATATATATAGAGAGAGAGAGAGAGAGAGAGAGATAGGAGAGAGACATTTACTCATATATAAGAGAGACTGATCAAGAAATAAAAATGTTCAGTTAAATTTAAACAATCAATACCATGCATACATACGTACGCATTGATAAAAATTGAAAATGTGATAGATAGATAGATAGATAGATAGATAGATAGATAGATAGATAGATAGATAGATAGATATTAGTAAACTGAGATATACACACACACACACACACACACATATATATATATATATAGAGAGAGAGAGGGGGAGAAAGAGAGAGAGAGAGAAGGACAGACAGACAGATAGACGACAGAGAGCTAAAAGAATTTCTGGAATTCAAAACAGAAACAATCAAATATTTGGTTAGGTTTTAGAAAGTGTGTCAGCCCGATAAATTTTCAGCACCCCCCTTGGTTATCAAAATGGTTAAGCGTTAATGGATATTTGCAAAATGTAACATTTTGGTTAGTAAACTAATTTCCCTGATGTAGAAAGAAGTTAGTGGATTCGAAAAGCCTGATATCCTGTTCGCTCAATGAATGGAAGCGACTAATTTTATCAGTACAATTATCATGATTACACTGGAATCAAAACGCGCAATTTACAGCACCCAAAACAAGAGCTAATAATATTTTGCCGCCATTACTGTTGTGGCTCTTAAACTTAGCTCCGTGTATTACGATAATTATACATATTATAATCCTCTTCTGTTTGTTAATGATACTTGCATTATTTCATTTGCCCTAACAATCTTTCTTCTTAATATCTTATTCATGTTCTAGTAAGCATATCTAATATAGTGGGTTGGTGCATAATTATCAGGCGTTTTTGTAGGCAAGTTATTTGTAATAAAAATTGCTGTTTTGTTTACTTTTTTAATAAAAATATTTTATTTTCAGGTTATAATAATGCGTGTCGATAATCATACACTCCGCAATAATCATTTAATAACGTTATTGTTGAATTGTTATATATCTTTTTTTCATAATAAATATTGTTTAAAAACGCCTGATAATTATGCACCAATATATCTGTAATAATGTTTTTCCAGTCCATCTGCAGTAAACTCATTTTAAATGCTCTTCTATAGTAAGGTGATTGTTAATCAGTTCATAATCAAATAATTTCCAGTACCCTACTATAATAATATTGTTACCAAATCATCCAAATTAAACCCATTTTCAATACATTTCGTATAATTATTTCTAATCACTCCATGGTCAAACAATTTTCAGTACATTCTATAGTAAAATTATTACCAGTCCATCAAAAGGAAAGCTATTTTCACTGCGCTCTATAGAAAGGTGATTTATATCAATCCATAGACAAGTAATTTCCAATACATTTCTATAGTAAAATTATTTCCAAAGCATCCAAAATAAATTCATTTTCAATGCATTTTCTATAGTAAAGGAATTTCTAATTCATCCATAGTAAAATAATTTTCAGTACATATCTATAGTAGACTCATTTTCAATTTATATATAGTAAAAGTATTTCCAGTGTCTTTTTTATATTTAAAAAAATTATAGTACGTCTATAACAAAATTATTATTAATAGTAATCTATATCTATATTTCTGTGTGTGTATGTAATCGAATATTATTTATGCATTTCCACAATTTTCATCCAATTTCGATTCATTTTTTTTTGTTTGATAGATAATTCTTCAGTGCCGGTTTTGAAAATTGTTGGCGACAATGGTTCTCCACTACTTCCTGTTCATTATAACTCTCAGCAACGTTTTACTACTTGCTATCTGTTCTTGGATATATATCTTTCATGAAAACTTTAATAAAAATAAATAGTTTAAATTATTAAAATAATATTATTCATTATTATACAGTTCCCTTTTCAGGGCCACCCCCCATTCAAATTTGCACTCAATTTTTGTTACTAATATTAATATTCGGGTGGGTTGACTTTAAACTTTAACTGCTCGAATTGAACGGCAAAAATTCCCAGTAATGAAAGACCCGGTCAAAGGCGTGTTATACTGCTAGTATATTTATATAAAAGCCAGATACTTTAGTCACCTTTGGATTAATTTCTAACCACTGAAATATTGGTACATTATTTTCAATGAATTTCTATGTTAATAAAATTACAATAAATTCTGTTAATAAATTATTAAAATATTAACTGTTTATTTAAATCATACATACATTACTATGGCATCAGTAAAACTTACCTTAATTTGTAACCATTTACAATTACCTCTCTATTCCTTTTTTTTTCGATGCACACAGATTGAATTTTGAAGACAACCAAAAATAAATTTTGCATCAAATATTGCAAAATTCCGGGCTTCATGTCCAATGACCCCTGCATCTTCAGAAAACATTGTCTGTTATTACAGCAGCGAATAAAATTGAATCAGGAGAAAATATCGCATATAACAAAAACAATAACTATAGCCAAAATCTGGAAAATGTCTTCAGAGTCCAAATGATAGTCGACCCTAAAATACAAGCGAGAGTAATGTTTCTTTATTTTCTCCACCATGAATGCACCATGTCATTATAAGTGTACACATTATTGTGAATAAGTTTTGGACATATTTATTTCATGGGGTAAACATGACTTGTGATATCAGGGGCAACATTAATTACGAATTACTGTAATTCCCCTTGTATAATACGCATTTAAAAAAAAATAACCAAATTTAGGGATGCGTATTATGCACAGCAACAAAAAATCTTTTTAAAAAATTCATAGGTCGATTTCAGTTAAATGATTAATCCCTACAAACATACGACAATTTGACACTAACATTCAGCGATTGCGACCCCATAAGGATGCCAAATACAATCATACGTGCCTAACAATACTTACAAATGTAAAATAAAATAAGAATTATCATAAAACCAAATTAGAATATTATTATTCTATGTTTAAAACCATTTTATTTTAATAATAGAAAACTCTGGCCGTAATGAAATAGGAGAGGTACAATTTATAGTATTTGATTACTAAATAAGGGGTGCGTATTATGCGTGAGTAGAAGCATTTTAACACACTTTCAGCACACTTTTACGGGTGCATATTTTGGATAAAGGCGTATTATACATGAGGAATTACGGTATATCATATTCATTGATTTTTTTTAAAAATTTTATTATGGCAGACATTTTGGACAGACTATTGTTTATTAAGTTTCAAACCACTACATTTCCGCCGATAGATTTTTAGGTCTTTCTGGAGTTGTGAAAAAGATGAAATTCAATAATTATTTAGTTTTAATTAGCGTAACAAAATGTCAAATGCTGAAGTGATAGAGGCACAAAGATTGTGTTACGATGTTCTTATAAGAAATGAAAAATGATTAATAGAATGAAATAAACTGGAAAAAGAATAAAAAAAGAAAGAAGTAAACCATTGAGTAAAAGAAATATACAAAAAAAGAAAAAATAGGAATTGAGTAAAAGAAGGAAAAATGGTGAAAAAAAATTAGTGAAAGAAAGAAAGAAAGAAAGAAATAAGAAAAAAAATAGAAATCAGAAAGAAAAAAGAAAGGAAGAAAGAAAGAACGAAAGAAAGAAAGAAACAAAGAAACAAAGAAAGAAAGGAAAAACGAAAAAATAGAACGAAAATTAAAAGAAAGTAAACGAAGGACATTGAGAAAAAAATCACGAAATAAACAAATAAATACAAGACGTTAAAAAATTCAAAATGGAGGGGACAGTGTGACAAAGTAAAATATGAACGAAAAATTAAGCAAGCAAAAAACAAACAAGTCTGATTTACAGTACGTTGCTACAAAGAAAGAAAGAAAGAAAGAAAGAAAGAAAGAAAAAAAAAGAAAGAAAGAAAGAAAGAAAGAAAGAAAGAAAGAAAGAAATATGAGCGTGGAGATCGTGATGAAAGTGAGTGCGGAATAAGCGATCGGAATTAAAGCCCCTAATAATGAATTCTACGCAATTCTGCTTGCGTTCGTTATTCACATTGACAGAATTGCATGACAATGTGTACGACTTAACAAGACGCAAACAACCCTGACTGACGTGGTTGATTTTTTTCTGAGCAATTCCCACATCCTACGCTTTCAACCAACCTCTAGAAATCAACTCGCTTCTTTTCCC